TAACATTATTATTATAATATTGTAATTATCACATTAATGATATATCATAAAATATCTAATAGTAAAGTAATATTATGATAAAATGTACAATTAAAACGCCATTCATTACTGTTATTTAAAAAACAATTAAATAGGAACTATATATTTTAACTGAAGGGTTATTGTATAAACATAATAACTATATTAATATTTATTACCTTTTTATAAACTTCTTTCACTGGAAGATCCAAACTCATGATTTTGTTGTTGACCAGTAATTCCATACCATTGTCATCTTCTAATAATGCTACTAATTCACAATCTTGACAAATTTTATTTTTAACATCTCTCATTAATGGTCCAAGACCAGGTTCATTACTGGAATATGGATTACCCAACATGCGACCCTAAAAAATATTGTAATTACATATGTATATCAAATGTCATATCAGCACAATTGGTATTGTTAAGCTGCAAAAATTTTGCTTTGGATCTAATACTAATAAGAAGTGATTAATTTGAAATCTGAGACAAATATTAAGTAGTTTGTGAAGCTAACAAACAAGACAAAGAATCAGATATAGGTGTTTCCCATAATAATGTCAAACGAATCTAAGATGTATTCTAAATGTTATATTCTAGTATAGGTTTGTTAGAATGATCTAATTCTAGAGAAAATTAACAGTATCAGTCTATTATGAGCCTGGAATAGCGTATAGTAAATATATACTGTACTTAAGATATATTAAAGTTTTATTTAGAGCAGGGTTGAGTCATTATTGTTAACAGACATTTTGCAGAATTTGGTTTTATACAATCACAAAATTTACAATTAACAAGAAGTATCAAATTGAATCTATGCTATCTTTATGTTTTATTAATTTGATAACACACAGTTAACTCATTTCATGCTTGTCTAACAGTCATAAAAAACAAGGAATCTTAAATGACCATATATGCACAATGAATTGTTTTTAAACCACCTCACTCCAGACATCCACTTAAGGTAAATATTAAATTGAATCATTTATATATTTAATAATTGAACCAATAAATCAATTCATTTTACAATTTGATTGGGTTCATCAAAAAAAATTCAAATATATTATATATAATCAATTTACCTGTAAAAAGTCTTCTTGTTGAGGATCCTTCTCAAGAGATAAGAAAAATTCCCCAATATCATTTTCTTCTGGATAAATAATTGAGCAAAGTCTTTCAAATATAAATACAGGAGTTCGAACATCCATCAATGGATATTTATTTACTGTTTCCATGCACACAGACATAAAGGATTTTGTTTCAGCTTCGGTTCCAGTGGTCATTTCTTCTAACATCTCTAATAATTGTTCTTGGGTATCATCAATCAACCTGGTTCTTTGTACTACTAAACTTTTAATGAAAGATATCCACCTAAAACTGCTCCGACAAGCCTACCTTTATAAGCTTGTCGTATAGAAGTATCCTCAAGAAAAGATGATAATAACTCGGTGATTTGTTTCAAAGCGTAACCTAATATATATAAAAAAAGCATTACTTGAAATTCACTAAATCATTTGCAAGATATACTAAAACATTGTCTAGAAATTGCAACTGGTTGTTAATAAATATATAGCAAATGGTAATGGTAGCTAAATTATAAACACCATAAAAAAGAAAGGAAGTCTTCCTGAAAGTAGCAAGTTTTGAATACAACAAAATTTTCACCTATATATGACTAACAACCACAATCATGGTTAACTAATACCAATGATTGTTCAAAAATAAAAATATTTGATTATAGTTATTAATAACTTGCCTTGTGCAATATCTGCAGTTAAAGTTGTTTCCTCAAGATGGTGTATATCTTGTATTTCTTTTGTTAATAAATCAGCCAAATGCATTAATACACCTTTTAAAGCAAGAAATTGTTTCCACGGTGCCTCATCCATTAATGACTTGTATAATGCTGTAAGCAGAAAAAAGGAACCTGACAACCAATTTCGCAAAATAAGAATTCATTAAAAGATTAAATTAACAACTCAATTTCTTCATAAGTTCAAAAAAAAAAAAAAATGTGATTTTAATCCGAGAAAACCAAGATTTGTTTTCAAACAACACTATAAATTCATGTATGTATGTATATATCAATATTCATATATTATAATTACATAAAGAATAAACAAACCTAAAAATTCATCACTGCTTTTACCGGATCTTCCAATTTCCTGAAGATAGCCTGTTAGAAGACATAACATTTCTCTATGTCTCTCATGTGTTTGACTTAACGATTGAACAATTGTACAGGCAACCTGCCTTGCCAAACGAGAGCGTGGACTAAACAACACTTGCTTCAACCAAGTTCCATCTAAATTAAGTGCTCTTAATCCATGCATTCTTTGAATCTACATATACATTAAAAAAAATATTAAATCATTTGAAATATGAACATAGACAATTATTTTCACTAACAACTATCTTTGCTGAATGGATGGATGTAACACTAACCTTATGTCTCCATCTATAAGCATATTTTTCCAAAAGGTATCTCTCTTTTGTTTGCTTTTTTAAAGCATTTTTATCAACTGGAACATCATCTTGATCTTTGGTATCGGTTACAGATGTTTCATTAAGATTTTGTTTATCACTTGCAGTTTCCACTTGTGATCTTTTAGGCATTTTCTGCTTCCAGCTTAAGAATGATTCATTGTTGTCACTATTTAACCACTTGTCTAAGTTGATTGTGATTCCCTCAGGTGGGCAGATGCTGGACAAGCTGCTTTTATTCTGCAATAAAAGTCATAATATATATATATATATATATATATATATATATATATATATTAGGTTGTCAAATATCTCCTTCCGCTTTTTTGCTCTTGGTTTATAATACAAAAGGCGGAAGGGAGATATTTGACAACCTATTATATATACATATATATATATATATATATATATATATATATATATACATATATATGAGTGAGTTCTTGAGGGCGATACATCAAACAAAGAAAAGCCAAAGATTTATAAAATAATCTTTATTTCCAAACGTTTCGACATTCAATTTAATGTCATCATCAGTGGATATTACGTTGGTTAGTTACATATAGAGAAGTGTACACAGCACTAGAGATTTGGCACTAACATTTATACAACTAACTTGTCAGCACTATGCATTTTTTTATATAATTTTTTTGTATGATGTAAACAGAAAAATGATAGTTTTATTGAACAAAAATGTAAGTAGAATTATGTAATTTCTGCCACGACTTCTGTACTTTGCTAGTACCGAGGCATGTATAAAAAGAAATAAAGATTATTTTATAATCTTTGGCTTTTCTTTGTTTGATGTATCGCCCTCAAGAACTCACTCATATATTTCAACATCAAAATTAACTACTAAATCATACATATATATATATATATATATATATATATATATATATATATATATATATATATATATAAAATAAAATTTTATATTCATATTTTCCCTCACTGACACAATGATTACTAGAACAAAAATAAATGTTTTCTGAATGACATTTAATTTTCAAGCAAAATATCCCAAAAATAAAATTTAATTAATTGGCAGAAAGTTGTGATATGACATTAATTTTACATTTCTAACCTTATTCAGTTGACTAGTAGGTTGAGCTGGTGACACCACAGACTGTAATATTCTTAGACAAGGCAAAACGATTGCTTCCATTACTGCTGGGCTACGAGTTTCACTACAATAATATTAACAATGGTTATAGTAATTTACTAAGTTATAATAAAAAATTAAACTTACTTGCATCCCAAAATAAATAATTTCATCACAGTTCTCAATTTCATTTCCCAGCAGTTGTCTTCTTGAGCTACCAATTCAGCTAATAATGCCATTTCATGACGAACCTTCAGTGAGAAAAATACAATTCAATAATTATGTTATAACGTAACTTTTAAAATGCAATAAAATTCATTACCCTGTAAAATAATTATTTACAGGTGTATAAAAAAGAAGAAGAAAAAAAGATCACAAAATATCAGTTCAAACAGAATTAAGTAACCAAGTATGAATAGTGAAAAGAATTATTACCCCCGGATAAAAATCACAAAAAGTAACTTGAGCTTTCAATGCTAAAGTTATTCTATCGACTAGAAGAGTGCAAAGTAATTCAGTATCTTGAGTACAGTCTTTTGTTAAAAGGCACAATAATTGACGAACTTCTTCTTGAATCTGAAATGATTGTCAAATAAAACAATTATTCAAGATGATGAAAATTATATAAATTTAATAAATCTTAAAAATGATATAATGAATAATTTATTAGAATTATAGAACTAAAAAATATTACAAAAGATAGCAATTGAACACTCACCTGGTGTGTACCACCACGTAAATTATGATTTACTAATTCTTGCAGAACCCCTTGTTTATGTATTAAATACCACCTACAAGGTGCAAATGTTGCCATCACACGTAATAAAGTTAAACAATGTTCTGTAGCTGCCAAAGCACATCCATAGCATCTATTTTTAGTAGTTGCACCTGAAAAGATTAACAATGAAGTATGTAAGATATAATGTTTCAGTACTTAAACAAAAATTATCTTACTTTTACACATGTCTGAGTTCATTACTACTACAAAGTCCATCTGCTTTTTATCATATGCTATTAGCTCTTTTCTGCTAGCTTCCACTTTTTGTAATATTTTACTCAAATCTTCAAAAAAGTTTTTACTTTCAACACAGTATTTTTGGGCTATAAGTTGCACAACTTTATTGACTTGAGATGTTGAATTTACGACAAAACCACCCATTGTATCATCAACATTAAAATCAGAACGATGCTCAGATACTTTCTTTACTAAAAGCTGTAAAAAATATTGTTAATGTTTATAATATAGTAAACTGTGATATAGATATTTTAAAATTTTAATATATTAATACATAAGTGCATTAAGCGCATTTACTGAAAAGCAACTTTGAATTTTTCAACAATAATATATTCAATCGTTAAATCAGAACTAAAATAAAGCTTAATGGTTTCACCTCTAATACTGGTTTATTATTGATGAGTTGTTGATACACTCTGTCAGCTTTCTCTAGCAAGTTATTGATGTTTTGAACAGTTTTTCGGCGATCATCATCATTTTCAATTGTGTCTACAGCACAACAAGGTCGAGCAAATAGAGAATAGTCAAATTTGGCATATTTGCAAAAACCGCAAGCATGGCATAAAAATGGATCCTTCTCATCATAATTTATAGCACTAAAAAGATATTTTTCATAAATTTAATATTACTAAAATATATATATATATATATATATATAGCACTGAAAAGATTTTTTTCATAAACTTAATTAAAAAGAATAATGCAGAACAAAAAGAGCAGCTAATAAAGCCCTAGCATATTCTGTTCAGCACCCAAAAAATTATTTGACTCATATAACTATAAAGAATTATGAAGAATATTTCTAATAATAAGATGATATTGAAAATAACAAACCGGCATTTGTGGCATTGGAAAACATTTTCCCCACAATTTCCACATACACCTGGATGAGCAGGAACAGCTGCACTACATCTAGGGCATTGCAAAGATTCACTTGTACCCTATAAAATATTATTTGATTAAAATCAATTGTCTATGAAAAAAAGTTCAAAACCTAAGTTAAAAAAAAAACATCACACCTGAACAGTCTCATAAAAATCTGCATACTCGATCATCAAATTGCAAGCAGTTATGGGAAGGGGAAAATCTATTTTTACATCAGTTTGACCAGATGATAATGTTACCTTTTTAGCTTTATGCCAAAGGGCTGTAAAACAAATGAAATAATAAATAAATATTCAAAATGTTTAAATTATTATAGTAGAGTTTATTTGCCTGGTTTATTTTTTAATTCCACAACAGCTTGGACAGTTCGGTCATTATAATAAATGTTTATAACTCTAACCATTTTGTTTCTTTTCAAATCTGCTATTCTCAATGTTATTTTACTTATTGTATGACTGTTAACCAATTTTACTATAGTTGTTGTTGTGGTAAACTTGGAATCAACCTACAATCAAAATAAAATAAATGATTTTAAATTTTAATGAGCATTTAGTATCTATAAATATTTAATGATTTTAAGGTTTTATAACTAAGGCTAAGGTTTTATTAACTTCCCGAAGGAGATCTCCGACTTCGAAGTTTATGTTTTCGTCAAAAAATCCGATTCGCTAATTTTATGTTTTCTCAACGTTTCAATTTCATTTCGATTCAGAATGGCTTGAAACGTCGAGAAAATTAACAAATAGGATTTTTTGATAAAAACAAACTTCTCCTTGGGGAAGTTAAATATTACGGGCATGGCCCGCGTACGATAATCGATAATCGGGCCAGAAGCAAATATTACGCATCACGGGCATGGCCCGGTACGGTAATCGCAAGTATTACAAAATATTTATTTATACGAAACTATAAACAAAAAAATATTTTTATTTTTATAATAAACTGTACACTGTGTGGGAAATTAGTCACGAATTAAATTCGTAAGTTAATGCAGCGGTTTCTAACATGTGGGGCGCGCCTCCTCAAGGGGGGGGGGCACACATCTGCTTCCAGAATACTATCATCGAAAATAACTAGGCTTGCAACGAATAGTATATTCGGCAAAATGCCGAATACCAAATATTCGGCATGCTCCAAAAGACGACTACTGAATATTCGGCAACTATTCGGCAGGTTTTTAGCTAGGGGTAGCTAAATTTTACAGTTTTATCACGTAACTAAAAATACACGTGATGTTTGGTGGGGGAGGGGGGGTAGTTTTGAATATCACCAAATATCACCAAGGGGGAGGGGGGGTCGAAAATTCCTTAAAAACTCGCTCACGTGATTAATGGACGCCCCCCTAGGCGCTACAGCTATGTCAAAAGTCGTTAAAGATTAAATTATTATATATACTATAACAAAATCGTTTCTTCATTATGTAAACTAAACACTTCCAAAAACAGATCCAACGCGAGCTCTTTATCACATAAAAGATAAAACACCAACGATGCTGTCGCTGAGCGTCAGCGGCGCCTTCGATTTTAACTATTCGATATTTGGCCCAATAGTAAGTTACTATTCGGTATTCAGTCGAATATTAAAAAAGATGCCGAATATCCCGAATACCGAATAGTAACCGAATATTCGATGCAAGCCTAAAAATAACCCAACATTTTTGGAACATAAAAAATAAACAAAAAATAAGTTTTTATGCATATTTTTACATAATATTGCATATTAATTTGTAGTCTGATAATATCAGTTAAAAATTTACGAAATTAAATTAAATTAAATTGAAAAAATTAAGAGTAGCGCAACAGTTTTTTTTATAAGAGCAGGGGGCGCGGTGCAAAAAAGGTGGAAAACCACTTGTTAAGTCAGCTTTTCATGTTTTTAATTGCTACATTCTATAATAAATCACTTACTTTTATAGAGCTCAATTTAATAGTGCTGAAAGGAATTTCAGGATTGTTGCATACAAGACATGGTTCAGATTCTAAGTAATATCCTTCTAATTCAACATATTGAGATAAACCGCTATATAATTGAGCATTACTATGTTGAGATAGCAATTGATTTTGCGCTTGGAGAACTAGCACTGCTTGTTCCATGTATGTACTCATCTACACAAAAAATAATATTGACCATTAATAAAAAAAATAATAAGTATTTTTTGTATAACATAAAAGGCATAACAGCCATATATAAATGTAAATATACATTATAAAAAAATAATGTATTTTATATGTTCATCAGTAATCATCAATTAACAATAGAACACATAGAAACACATAATTACCTTACTCTCTATATCTTTGGTCTTTAATGAAAAATAGCCTAAGAGATCTACAAATTGTGCAGTTCTTCTGCCATAAGCTGGAAGAAACTGTAACAAATTCCAAAGTAATTCAAGTAAAGCCTCTTTCTGAGATGGACTAGAATTACTGTAAAGTGAAAATATGGCTATTATTTTTAATAATTTCAATTATTGAATATTACAATAATAAATATGACTTACATATACATAGATAATAAAAGTGCATGTGCCTGCCACCTAACATTTGTTGAGTTTGTCTCTAACAAAAATGTTTTTATAAATTTACGCAATACTTCTGTACTGACTTGTGCATTAATCTGATTCACAAGAACAGCACATTGAGAATCTTCGAATTTAGAATCAGTACTGTCAGATTCTTCAGATTTATCGCGCTCTTTGCGATCTAGAATAAAATGAAATATAAAATTCAGTAATGTATTAAAATTCAATTGCAAATTTAACCACAAAGTTTCATTGAAGACTAAATTGTAAAAAAGCACAAATTTCCATAAATTGCAATCAAATACATAACAATATACAAATCTAAAATGTAAAATAGTTAAATATAACCTAAATAAACAAACTTTTTTTTCAATTTACCTTTGGCTGATGATCTGGCAGAAGGTGTTGTACAAGATTGTGCAGAAATAGGCGTTGTTATAGAGGAGCTTAAACTAGAAATTGTTGGTACTGTTTTGTTCGTATCAGATGTTGACAATTTATTATTGTTGCAGATAGCAGACTGAAGAAGTTGCAAGATAATTGAGGATACACCTGCACAACAATATATTATTAATTTACTACTTTATCACTCAATTCTTATATTTCAATATAATGTTTTTTATTTTATTGAGCATCAATAATTATCGGATTCTCTACTTCTCTATATTTAATTTAAATAATTTTTAAGCGGGTATTCTGGTCTATAGAAATTAATTTTATGCAATATTTGGAAGATAAATAATAAATTCATAAGTTATTAATTAATGATTTGAGAATATTCAAAATAAAATAATTAAAAATAACCAAAGTTTGAATTCTAGAAGGTAAGTAAGTGGGGTGTCTCAAAAAATTTGCACATGACCATTTCCATGAATTTAGCTCTCCTAATAATCTAGAGATAAATATATGTTCAAATATTATTACTCTAATCTAAAATAATATCGCAATCACATGCATAACCAATAAGTGAAGAAAAATGTAGGTTTACAAAATCGCAAATATATGAAAGAACAGTATTTTTTACAACTTTTTATTATCTCATTAATTAGTAAAAATCGGGATTTGGGTATGCTCGTACAAAGTCTATGAAGAAAACATTTCAAGCAATTCGGTCAAGTAGAAGGTAAAAATTACGTAGGTATTGTATCAAAAAAGACAGTTTCGAAACAACATGTTTAAAGTTTTGCAGAGAAAGGAAACAGAAAAAAGTTTCATGGTCAAACAGCTATATCTCCAAAAATACCTTTAATTTTGAAAAATCGTTTTGTATGCATATTCTTGAAAAAACTTGAGAAACAAGTTCCGTCAAATTCAATTAAAGTACAAGAAATATAATAATTTTATTAATTTTAAAGAAATGTTTATGACCTTCATCTAGCAGACAGCTAGCTTGCATAAGAAATGGTACTACACCATCATTAGCTATGCAATATTTCTGCCAATTTCCAGTTCTTACAGAAGCAACTTCCAAACATGCTTTCAAATGCTCCACCAAATCAACAAGGTAGTCATATGGCAAGGAGGTAGGATCATCACAAAAAGACCTAATTGCCTGAAAACCATAGAATATTGAAATATTTAATACATATGTTTTTATAATATTAAGTTTTTTTTTTCAAGAATTAGCAATAATTAAATATTTGATAACACTTATTCAATAATATTAAATTCACTAGTAATTACATTTGATTTTGGCTATGGAATTCAATATTGTAAGTTATAACTTACAACATATATAATACCTTAAAATGTGTATGTAAAGAGTGAACATCTCGCAGTTGCCTATATTTTCCTTTATGTCCACATAAGAAGAGTAACATTTTTCGAACTTGTCTTTTAGCGAATGATGTATTCGGGTTCATCATGTATTCACAAAGTGTATCCAACCAATGCTTTCCCAGAGATTGTCCACCTTCCGTGTGTTTTTGTATCTATATTAGTAGTAAGTTAATTTTCAATATTGGATAAGACTAGATTATAAACATATATCAATATTTTTTAAATTGTGAAATTATATATATATATATATATATATATACAGGGCCGGTCCTGCCTTGCATACAATGCATGCAAAAAATGCGGGCGCACGCCTTAGGGGGAGTGTCGGAAATTAAATTTATAATATATTATTTATATTTTTTATTATGTATATAAAATTCAGAATATAGTAGGGATACGAAGACATAAAAAGCATACTTATTTTGCAAAGTGATATCAGTAGAAACAATTAACCGTCTAATAACTATGCAAATTAGTAAATAATAGCTCTGTTTATTGCTTAATCTACTTATTCATTTTTTTCTTTGTTTGAAGTTACTGTGGAATCAAAAAAGAAAACATCTATTGTTGAATTCCATAAACACAAACCTGCGAAAGATTAATTGTTGGGCATTATTGATGAAAAATTGCGAGCTGATTTAGTTGAAACAAAACTTGTTAAAAAATATAAACAAATTATAATCGGGAAAATGAACAACGGGGACTCAGTGATTAGAAAATGGCATTTTTATTCCGAGAAATTGAATTGTAGCCATAGATAAAAGAAGATAGTAGCTTTTATTTTGTATGTAGGAAATGTTTCGCATGTGATGAGCTTTGAATGTTGAAGACATGCGTGGTTAAGGTTATGGAAATGAAACAAATATGAAAAATGAAAGCAAAATTTACTTTGGAACGAAAATCTTAAATTTCTTTTTATACCTAGTGTTGTCCATACTCTAATTTTAATAATTATTAACTATGCAGAAATAATGCATATCAAACATAGTTAGTTTTTTTTTCAAAATAGTTCAAGTGTAATTTCTTTGCATTTTTTACTGATTTTTGGACAATACTTCTGAAATACGTTAAAAAAATTTAACTTTAAGACAACAATTTGATTATCTGAATATGACGAGAATGCAAGGATCAATACAGCTCGGCTCTTAGGATATCAATAAGGAGAAGTGTACGACGCAATTTTGGATATTGTAAATAATGAAAAATTAAATTAAATTAAAATTTAAAAAATCCAGCACAAAATACGAGTGTTATGATTGAAAATAGAAAGCTAGTTTTTTTTTAGCTCTCTTGGCATGATTTGCTCAACAGAATAAATCACACAATAAATAAGTAAAATGTTTCCAAACCCAAATATTAATATTGCCACATATGTTAATAAATAATTGAAAATTTAAAAACATTTGATTATAATCAAGCCGCAAATCGCCTTCTAAATAAATTTAAAATCAATGTATTTTATATGATTCTATGTTATATCTAATTTTTTGTGTATTGAATTCAGAGTAATTAAAAACTATTTTAAAAAAAATATGTGAATATTTACATAATTTTAATGATAAACTGTTAAAACGGTTAAAATTAATAGGGGGGAGGGGCTAGAAACATGTTGCATGCGGGCGCAACATGTCCAGGATCGGCCCTGTATATATATATATATATATATATATATATATATATATGATGAAGACTTTGAAAATTATGTATAATGCAACACTTTCAATCAACTGCTAATAGAATGTAAGCTTCAATACTAATCATTTAAAACTGATTGATTTAAGCTGATACATTTAGATATTTTTGTACAGCTTTATAATAAATTTGAAGATACCTGATATGGTAACCTCACAGCCATTTCGGTCAGCAACTGTGGATATTCTTCAAATACATCTGTACAATGACCTGGAATGTAAAATGGACCTTCTATTAACGTATAGTCAAGTAATATATTGGAAACCCAAATATTTTGTTGGAAGAGAATGAAGGTTTAATCTACTTACTATTACCTTTCACATATTGTCTTAAGAAAAATGGTTGCATATCAGGTAATGTGTTAGGTAGATGTTCTTTAAGTAGTGTACAACTTACTCCTCCAGAAGACGCTTCTTCTAAAACAGTTGGTGCACTCCAATACCTAGAAGAAGTAACATTATGAACTTCACAAGTTTTAATTAATAACTTCCCATATGGAATCTGAGTGAAACTTCTGAAAACCTAAAAAGACGTTTTCTATATCTTTGCATTTCTTAATTATTTTTGCACATCTTACAACAATAATTAATGGGTAAAATATGCATGTGCACATGTGTAGTAATCAACAACCATCTTTATTATTCAAATAAAATTATTTGGATAGTACAAATAGATCTAAAGGCTACGGAGTATTCCCATACAGAAACCCCCAACATTTTATTTCAATGAGTTATGTCATTTTGTAGTCTTTTCGCAAAAAAAAATTGAATTCAACTTTCAATTCCCTAGTGCATCTTTTGGCAGAGATATCATTGCAAATAATTCATTCAAATCATTCAAATTTAATAATACTTTACACTATATTCAAAACAACATTATTTTATGTAATTAATATTTACATTCGAAGACTATACATACTTGAATATAAACCACATTCATTTCTCCCACACAGAGATCAGCAATTCCAGATATCATTAGTCACATTTACAACTTGCAGTTTTTTATAATGCTTTTGTTGCAAAACACTTATATTAATACCATTCACAAGTATATTGGTTGAAAAATATAAAATTATTTGAAAATGCATCTGGAATTTTCTTACAAAACTCTTAAGAAGTATATCGGAATGTAGGAAGATCGATGAATATATCAAAAATAATTTTATGTAAATTTATCTCTCTTGGAAATCTAGTAATAACCTGTACAGTGAAATGCACTCTTTTAAAATAGTTCAAACATTTTGTCTCATAATACGCATACAATCTAGAATATAATATTACAATAAACTTACTCTAATAACTTCGTCAACAAATTGTGGCAATACTCGACAACACCACTTTTATGAAGTAAATTAGCTGCCATCCTAGATACAAATACTAATCCCTCGTGTGCTTGAGATTTACTGGATTGTTGTTTCGAACGAGACATCAAAACACCTGCATAAAGCATATGTTTTTAATAAAAAAAGAAACTTATAATAGTAGAAAAAACTTTCTACAGATTCATTAATTCAATTTATGATTTGCTTTTACAATCTATTGTAAATATAAAAGAATTTTTGTGGTATTATGGTACCATTAATTGGTACTTATTACAGATAATAAAACATCTCAATTTGTCAATTATAAAATATTTCTCCCAATTAATTATTATTATTGTAATTATTTTTGTCAAAGTTTTGTACGATTTTTACATCCAATATTTATGTAAATCAAACAATTATATTTCTTTTAAATAAAAAAAAAAACAGATTATAAAAAAAACAAAGAAAGATTTATTTTTTTGTTATATGCTGATAACTAAAGTAAATTTTGTAGTATGAAATAGCAATTATTTAATAGCTGTTAGTTATATATACTCACTTAATAAACGAACTATTACTAAATTCACTTCACGTGAATGTGTTCTAACATAAACATCATCAAGATCAACGATCCTTTTTTGTGTAGATTCATTTACTTCCGATGATCCATCTTCCGAAAACCTTGGTGCAAATCCTAGTTCCTGTACTAAAGCTGATAGAAGTTTATGCAATACTTGGCGATCATTTTCAGAAGAGCCATTTAAATCAGTCGTTAGCATCAATATTACCTGAATATAAAAAAGAACAAACACTTGTGAACTTACACATATATTATTTTATAAAATAAGTTAATTCTGTAGCATAAAAATACATATATTATTTGCAAGTGGTTGTTAATATCAACCTTAAAATTACCTGCATAAATGGAATAGATTGAACTCCAGAAACTGATTTTAATTGACCCATATTATCAACCATATTACTTAAGACTTGAACTCTAGAAGTGAAATACTTGATTAGTATTAACATGTTGATAATAAACTAATATAAAATTAGAATCATTTACATATAACATTTTAATTAAAAGTTAGATAGTAAAAATGGTTAATTTTTATCACAATAATTATTTACACATATTTTTTATAAAATTGATAGTTTATAAACCATTATGGCTTTTAAAATCATGTTTAATTTATTTTTTCAAGGTCAAAACCAGGATAGCAACTGTAATTATGCTAATATGGAACAGTGTGAGAGAGGGTGAACCTATACTTTTCAAAAACTCAAGACAATCCAGAATAAAAAAATCAAAATTCCAGATAAATATTGCTTTTAGGAAAACCAGAAACAAAAGGTAAAATTCTGAAACTATCTCCAAGCCAAACTAGGATAAATGGTCACCTTAGTGAACAGTAATATGCCATACCTAAGTTGATGCATTTTCAAATTAGTTTCCTTATCTAATGCTTCATTTTCCAAGTCCAATTGGTGCTTGGCAGACAAAGGCATTTCGATCGCAAGTTGTTCTCCACTAGCTTCCCCCAACTCTGCATCAGAGGATTCAGGTTCAATGGAAGTCAATGATGATTGTTGCTGTACCGGTGGTATATTGCTTGCACTAGATGTAGCTGGTGTTGAATCGGCTTGCCTGGGCGGTGAAGTACTGCTGATTCCTGATAATGCATTAGTTACAACTGGTGGACCAATTAAGGTATCTCCATAAGAGCTACTCCGTCCAGAAACACCGCCAGTACTTTCGGCACCCGACCCTCCTGATTCTGATCCATTACTTCCACCCTAGTGTAAATTTTAGATTATTACACAGATTTTAGATTATTAGATTATTATATATCAGTATTAGCTTACTCAAGGAAAACCAATTAAAAATTATTGACAATTCCAAACCTTCATTCATTGAAATAAATTGCAAAAATATTTATAGCCTAAAGAGTAAACTTAGTATATCATATTTTAGCAATTGAATTATTAGGTATAATAAACAATATGATAATGAAAATTAACATATAGATGATGCAAAATGTATTGCAATAATTTTTTTATGCTGTGTGCCTTGGAACCTCTAAATGAATTATGTGATATATGTATTTTTTTACCTGATCTGCAATTGATGTTCTTAAAGTAGAGCCATCTGTTGCTGCAGTGGAACCTTCATCGTCCGAGCCTCCTGCAGAAGCAGTTGTATCACTGTAATGACCACCATGACCAGCAGCCGCAATATTTGCAGCAGATAGCACTTGCTAAAAAAAAAACTTTTAATCACTACTACACTATTATTGCAGTACTATAGTGCATAAAGTAGTTCATATAATTATTATTTTGAATTAGGTCATAAAGCATGTATCAAGTCTTACATTGCATCCAAAAACTTTTTTTTTACATTTGTGATTGATCAAGCCAAAGCAGTTATTAGTCAGTTAGATGTTAGCACAGCTATCGAAGTTGTACTTCTAATTACAGTATCAAATAGTGATTCTTACATTTAAATTTGAGTAAAGTAAACGTACTTTAAGTAAATAAAATATTTTTTTTTTGTAATAGAATAAGAGAAATGGTTTATTTTTAAATACATACTTGTATATTATGTAGATTAGCGCCCAGGTTCTGAAGATTGGCCAGTCCTTGTTGTAAAGCATGTAGTCCACCTTCATGATCTTGCAAACTTAAAGCAATTGCTAACTCAACCATGGCTTCATCATCTGCATCTGGTGGTAAATCCATCAGTGGCGGGAAACCACCTGGGGCAGCCAAAAACGCTTCTAAAGATGCTAAACTTGGGTGACTTGGAGCTATAAATGAAAAACATTGATCAATCAAAAGACAAATCTTTTAGATTTTAATGTATAAATAATTTTTAAATTATTGCGCTCTATATTTCCTATATTTTGTGACTTTCTTGAACTGTAAGTGCACTCTTAAATTCAAATTGGCCATATGACTCCAAATGTGATGTAAGATTTTTTATGAGAGGCAAAACATAATGTATCATTTTCCAATAGTACCAAAAAGTGGATTATGCCATCAGGTCAGTCCTTACACAAATACATAATAGCTGTATCTTTTAAACTATGTATAAATATTCCTCAATATTCCTCATAAACATTACGGCTTATGTAAATGTTGTGACATTATTTTCTTTCATTCTTAAACAGCAAATTGCAGATATGGTAAATAAATTGTGAAACAATATAACTGTAATACTCAATTTGAATTGTGAGACGATTTTTATTATGTCCTACGGGCAATTTTTATTAAATGTTAAATAATAATAATCACCTGTATCAATATCCTGTATGTCCGGCTCCAATTGTCTTTGTTGTTGAGGAACTGAAGAAGCAACAGGATTCACACGAGAGGGTCTAACTGTAATTTAAAAACAGTATATTAATACTCAAAGTTACTCGAAAACTGTTTAATTCGAAAGCTTATCAGAATAAATTGTTATTTAATAAAGTTTAATAGCTAAATCATTCACTAAACTAAACTATATGTGACTACTAATGAATCTTGAAATTTATTAATATAGTAAAGACTATTAAAAAAAGCAACCTGAACTTTGACTTGCTGGCTGTTCAACTACACCGGAAGTTTTAACTTTGCTTCTATTTGATCCTCTACTGCTACTAGCTTTGTTACCACTACTGCTTGCACAAGAAGTGACTGTCAAAGCAACTTCACTGCTGGAAGCAGATGCACCTTGCTGTTCAGAACACAATATACGAGGTCTTGGCCTGAGCATCTGAATAATTGCATGTTGCTTGTAAAACTAATCTGGGTATCCTTACTTGATAACATGGACATGTACAAACGACAGCCAAGAGCAACCTAGAAATATTAGACATTTTAATTTTTAATTTTAATATTAACTATTTTATTACCAATATTAAATATTAATACTACTAATATTATTCTATTTTTTGACAATTAACAATCTGAAATAAGTACATTTAATATTAATATTACTAATATTATTCTATTTTTTTGTTTTATTTTACAAATATTACCAACATAATTATAATCAAAATTTAAAAATATTATTTTTTTATTAATATATAAATTGAGACAAAACAACCCCCGGATTGAACAATCTGAAATATGTTCATCCAAGGCTTCAAAGGAGGCTAGAGCAGCTCGATTGGAAGTGAGAAACACAGAAAATAGTTTTTTTTTTAAATGAAAGATCCAATGTATGAAGCAGGAATGGCAGATTAAATAAAAGTTAGTATAACATAATTTTATGACTTTGGCAGTGAAAAACTTCACGCAAAACTTTAAATGTGTTTTTCTCATTGTCAAGACAAACTTTTTCAGTACTCTTCCCACGATTTCTCGAGTTCTACTATACCGATTCACTTGAAATTTTCAGAGTCTTGTTTACAGGCCTAGCTGTAGCCTGAACTAGCATCAACCCCAAATTCCAACTTTTACTATTTTTAAAAAATTCGAGAATCTCAAAAAACACTAAAAAAATTACTTTTATTTTCAAACACATTCACCATTTTGTAAAAAAAATATTTTTTTTACTCGTCGCTAGTTCGGGCGATTGCGACATCGTTGTAGATTAATATTTTTATATATTTCAGATAGCTAGGAGGGTTGAAATCATGGGAACATGCTTTTTGTCTTTTGTTCTTTTTGAAGCTGTTTACCCACTTGCAGTACACTGTTTTGACAGAAGTTTTATTTCCGGTGTATAATAATGTACCCAAATTTCATCTAAATTACACATTGCACCTATATACATTTATGCCTAAAGTGCATTGAAAATGTGATTCAAACATGTTTTGGATTTACATGAGCAAACGCGGCACCCATCTTTACATATTAAATCTTTAATAACAGTTCGGTACTCAATTTTCTCTATCTCCACAAAAAACTCTTCAAGTACTTGCCTAAACAGCAGCCTATCGTTTTGAGATTGAAAACTTCTCAACTCACCCTCATATATTATATGCAGTACACACAATACATGATTACTAGTAATGCATGATTACTAGTAGTACATATGGTACTATGAATTAGTATGAAAAATATGCTTTGATATTACTTACCAAAGATGATTCATTTAGCATAAATGCATGAATTATTTCCACCATGCAGAAAACCACAGATTCAGTATGTGGTAATCCAGACTTACTGCACACTAATGAATTTGTTTACAGGAAAACCTCATGTAATGACCATAAAACATCCATAAACTGATCCATAATATGTTTACTTTCACCTACAAAGGACACAAAAAATATATAATTTTAATATATGAACATATTTATATCAAGTCTACCAAAAAAAAATATAACTAGAATATACTAAATATTTGACTATGCAGAGAAAAATGAAAAGCGTTTTTCATTAAATAGAGTGATTTAATTTCCTGTTGGTTTTTTGTGATTTAGGATCAACATTACAGAAAGACCGATACTAAGACGATGACTATAAATATAATATATACCACATATATATATATATTATATATATATATATATATATTCTAATAGCAAATATAGCAAAACACTATAAGCTGGTGTACAAATAGACCAAACTGATATGTGCAGCGGGCAAAAAATTTGGGAATTCAATGCAGTTCCTAGCAAAAGCTTTAGACAATATCTCCATTAAACATAAAATCAATTAAATTTATTTATACATCTTTAATTAAATAAAAAATCAAAATATTTAAATTATTAACCAGTTGATTTGTAAAAATATGCGCAACACAAAATTATCAAGCAAGTTGTAATAAAAAAAATTTATTTAAAATTTCATTACCCACGTAAAATAGTAGTTTTTATTAGATTTTAGTTTTTATTTAAATTTATGCAGTTGTAACTAATGTAAAAAAAATTGTAATACCCAAAAAGATTTTTTACTAGAATTTAGTATGTTTTTTTGGCGTTTACTTTAATAAATTACAAATTTGTCATAGTATATTCAAATAAATATGATCAAAAAACATTTTTAAGTCGTTTTAAGAAATGTAAAAAATGTCTTAAATTCACATATTGCTAATTAACAAAATACTAAATAAAATCAGAGGGTAAAATACACAGCACACTAATAAACACCAGTTCTCGAGACAGGTATTTTTACCCATACCGCTTACAGTGTGTTAGAATAAATACTAGTTATTTATTATTACTAGTAATTACCCAAGGCAGCTGCAAATTTCGTTAAATTAGCAGGTCTGGATACAGCCATATTGCGAATTATCAGAAGCAATCTATAAATATCCTTCGGGATCTAAATCTTTGCAATCTTGATTATTATTACTCATAGAATTCAGCTGTTCAGAAACATGATTAAGAAGAACTTGATCCTGTAATTGAATGGAACATTTTATCAACCTAAAATACTGTCTAGTAAAGCATTTCAAACCACTCAAAAACAATTATAGATTAGTAATGTTAATACAATTGTATTTTATATTTATGCTAGCTTATATGTCAAACTTAATTTATTTAAAATAAGATGCTCAAAAGATTGAAATTAAAACTTGATTAGAAATATTTAAGCATATTACTTGAACAAGAATATCATTTCACTTACTTTATAAGCATGAAAGCTAGATTTAGTTCCATGAAGTGCAGCCATCACAGCTTGAGTATTCATTTGAATTTGCAATATAGTAGGCATAGTTTATTAACTTGGATGTGGTTCCAAATGCTAAACTTCGTAGTGGATCATTAGGTTGAAATTGGCATACCAAAAAGCTACCTTCTATAACTTCCAGTAAACCAGATATCAATCTAAAATGAAAAATTGATTACTATACAATCATCAAATAAGTATGTAAATATGTTAGAATTAATAAATCATAATAAACATATAAAAGATAAATCAAGTAAGTAGTTTTGTATAGAAAGTTATCTTAAGGGCACATGATACTTAATTTTATAATATTCTGTTCAAGTTGATCGGAGCTACAATAATCAGAATATTTCATTTTTGCCATTTTCAGCAAATTTAATATGTAGTAATTAGAATGTTGTAGTGAACGTTTGTTTATAAACTTTAAATTTTATTGTTAGTATAGTTATTTAAAACATACTTATCTATATGGAGTAATTAAAACATTTTTCTGATTTGAATCTGAATCCAATGAATTTTGACTATTTTGATTATTGTTTGATGATGCATACTGTAGAGTTAGCTCCAGCCATCATCAGGTTCTTTCCGGCCATCCAAAAGTATCTTTAGTTTTGCCATAACTGCAAAAAGACATTCTATTACAATCATTACATATTAGTATTAATTTCAGAAGAAAATGTATTCATGCATAAACACTTCATACATATTTATGAATAAATATATACACTTACATGAATATATGTATATACACTAAAAATTACCCGAGTATACACATAAACACATGTACATAATTACTACAGTTCTGGCCAAATTATGAGAAGAAGTATTAAGTAGAACAAGGAAAATAGAACATAATACATTTTATTATGTATTAAGTACTAATATTGGTTAATAAAGAAGCAATAAGAGAATACAACAAGAAACTCGGCTTGAACCAAGACAGACTAATTTGAGAGTTTTTATAAGGATATATGATAAAGAATATATAATCATTTTTAATGAATTGAAGGGTTTATAAAGTCCTAAATCGTGATCAAAATATCCATAATGCCACACTACAAACAAAAATCCATCCAGCAAAAGAATAAATGTTAAAATACATTTTGATCTTCATTGGATTCTGTAAAATTATTTAGATTTATATGTGATTTACGAATTATGTGAAGTACTCAAAATATGTTTTACTCTATTAATACAATCACTCACATTTTAACATTATCAACCATGATCACCACCATCTGGATCTTGAGATGGACCAAATAAAATATTCAACTTTTTATCAGACTGTAAGCTTTCCTTCACGTGTTAAGGAATATCAAACCATCGTGTGCGAATACAAGTTGTTTGTATACATCTACCTAATATTTCTACATATGCTGGTGTGCGGACGACATCTGATTACCTAAAAGAAAACAAGTTGAAGGCATTCCTCACTGATATATAATTATAAGTAAAGTC